TACCGTGGTTTCTGGTCAAGACAGAGGAATAGACGGTCCCCAGAGTCACTCTCTCCCCCAAATCAACCAATTTACAACTATTAAAAAGCAACAACAGCCAAGTTGTGGCGGCTAGAGGGAAGAGGCGGAGAGACCTATGGAGTTCATGAAGGTAGGAAAAGCCATGATGAGAGAAAGAAAGGTCCACTCTCACCATTTTGAGCTGTGGCTGCTTCAAGTCTGGGGCTGGTGGGCACACAAAGCAGGAGCTGACAAAAGCCACAGCTGTGCCCTTCAGATGAAGTTGCTTGGAGTTCGCAGGGTAGAAGAGGGCCTTGGTGGCCCTCAGGCCAGGCAGACCACCAGTAGGGTTCCTGTGGACTCACACAGGAGCAAGGAGCCACAACAACTGAAAAAAGGAGCCATTCAGAGGCCAGTGAGTCATCGCAAGGGACCAGTGCATGGCCTGTCCCACGGGAAGTGTTTGGAGTGCAGGTATTGGGGGAGATGGGCACACCGAGGGAACACTGGGACACAGCAAGGATGGCTAATCTGCCCCCCAATCAGCACAGGCCCACTCAGTGGAAACTAGTCAGGAATATAGAATTGCATGGGGTGCAGCAGCCCCAGACCAGTGTTTCTCCACAACCCAGGTGTACTGATCTGACCTGGAAGTACCTACAAAGTCAACCATTAAAACCTGAGCTGTACAAAAAGCCTTCCCCAGGGAATCAGCAGCAAAGCAGCAATTTAGCTCAACCACAGAGCTCAAGTACTGGTCCCCACAAGAAGTTCCCTCATTTCAGAAGTAAGCAAAGGACAACAGATTAGTTCCAGTGCAGAGTTTCAGTGGTGGGAACAGTGAGTAATACAACACAGACTGAAAGAAAAAACAAAATACCCACAGACCAGAGACAAAGTCTGATATTAACGAGTAAAAGTCTCACTTCACCAAAGAACATCTATAAAACCTAGAAGGATCGGAAGCTCCCTGGGCACCCAAGCCAGGGAGGGGGGAGGGCCAGCGGCCTCAGCCACACCCCCCAACACCAGCACCCAGCCCAGTGACAACCACCAAGCTGCCTCAGGAAATACCCTGGGCCCCCGAGCCAGGGCAGTGGGGGGCTGAAGGCTTCAGCCACACCCCCTGACATCTGCATTCAGCCCAGCAATGACCAAGCCACCACTGGAAGACCCCTGGTCTCCCCTGCAGGAATGAGGGGGATCCTATGGGCTTCAACCACATCCCCCCTCCTTTCTTGTTCTCCCACCTTATCTCCTTCCCCCTTCCCTTCTCCCCCTCCCACCCAACTGCTCCATAACAACATCTTAGAATTTAAAAACAGATGGAGCCAGGGACCAACCCCTCCTCCCGCAACCAGGCATGCCGCTGCCACAGTGCCCTCCCAGGGTCCTGAGGTTTGGAGCCAGGGACTGACCCTTCCTCCTGCAATCAGGCAAGAAGCAGGCCAAAAACACCACTTCCATGTGGGTGGCCCACCACAGCCACCACAGTAGCCACGACTGCTGCAAAAGCAGTTAAATGCCACAACCACTGTGCAGATGACCCTCTAGCCACTTGAGTGCACTGACACAAGGAGAGTCACCAGTGGAGACCAAAGAAAAAAAGAGGATATCTCTCTCCACAAAGCCCACTCCAGAATGATAAAAGAAGCATCTGTTCTATGATAATATTGGGGGACCTGAACACACCTCTCTCAGCATTGGACAGATCATCTAGGCAACAAGGCAACAAATCAACAGAGTAACTGTTACTCTTTCAGAAGGAGAGAAGAAATCTAGGGTTATCAGAGGTGAGATGGGGGAGGGTGAGAGGGATGGGGATAGATTGGATAAGGGGCATAAAGAATAAATATGATTTATAATAATGTATATGTTAATAATATTTGATCAACATACGTCAACACTGAATCCCAAAAATATGTCTAATGAATTATGATTCGATAAAAAAATAACATAAATGTGAAAAAAAAATACTCCTTTCCATAAAAAAATTTTTAAAAATAAAAATAAGGTATTAAGCGCCGAGCCCGTGGCGCACTCAGGAGAGTGTGGCGCTGGGAGCGCAGCAGCGCTCCCGCCGCGGGTTTGGATCCTATATAGGGATGACCGCTGGTGCACTCAATGGCTGAGCGCAGTGTGGCCGGTCTCAAAAAGGACAAAAAATAATAATAATAATAAATAAGGTATTAAAAAATTGATTGGAAGTTTTCTGAGTGTATGGAAGCTTCTCATGGCTTCATTGTAGGCAAACTTTTAAAAATTATTTTAATTAAAAAAATTTTAATTGTGGTAAAATGCACATAAAATTGACCATCATAACCATTTTTAGGTGCACAGTTCAGTGGTGTGAAGTACATTCAGATTGTTGTGTAACCAATCTTCAGAATTCTTTTCCTTTTGCAAAACCAAAACTCTATACCCACTAAACAATAACTTTCCATTCCCTTTTTTCACTATCCCCTGGCAACCACCCTTCTCCTTTCCGTCTTTATAAATTTGACTACTGTAGGTATCTCCTATAAGTGGAATTGTATAATATCTGTCCTTTTATGACTTGCTTATTTCACTAGCATAATGTCTTAAAGGTTCACCCGTGTTGTAGCATATGTAGGATTTCCTTCCTCTTTAAGGCTGAATAATATTCCATTGGATGTATACACCTCATTTTGTTTACCCATTCATCTGTCAATGGAACTTGGATTGCTTCCACTTCTTGGCTATTGTGAATAATGCTGCTATGAATATGGCTGTGCAAATCTCTCTTGGAGACTCTGCTTTCAATTCTTTTGAATATATAACCAGAAATGGGATTGCCGAATTATATGGTAATTTCTCTTTCCACTTTTTGAAGGGACCACCATACTGATTTCCAGAGCAGCTGCACTATTTTACGTTCCTCCCAACAGTGCACAAGTGTTCCAATTTCTCCACTTCTTTGGCAAGGCTTTTTGTTTTCTGTTTCCTTTTTTAAATGTTCATCCTAATGGGTGTGAAAAAACTTTTTTATGTATATAATTTTGGACAGTGCCTTTTCCATAGAAAATGATCTTGAACATTTTTCCATGTCAGCAGACATTCTTCTAAACATGATTTTTAATGGCTGTACTTAACAGATTCTGTAATGTGGTATTTTAATTTTCCAGTAAATATTCAGAGTTTAAATAATGTTGTGCAGAATAGTCTTATAAAGAAATCTTTGTGTATATCCTGATATTTTCCATAGGATAAGGTCCTGGAGGTTGAATTCCTGGGTCAGAGAGCATGTGCCTTTAAAACTTTTAAATATATGTTGCCAGATTGCCTTCCTAATTGGTTTATACTCTCACTGGCAATGTGACAGTATTGTCTATACTGTTATCAGAGAAACTGATTTTAATGTTTGATCATAAATACATAGAAAAAGGTCAGAAAGAATATATATCAACTGATAATGGTTAAACTATGAGAACCAGTCTGGTTTAATGCATGAGTGGTCAAATAAAATGTTAGATTTATCTTTATTGTTTGGATTTTTCAATATGAATGTACTCACATAATATTTGTATAAAATATTTTAATTTCCCAGTTTATTGGTGAATGGGTATACTGTTCAATGGATATACTTGTTTTCAATATGCATGCTTTGTACTAAAATTTAAGTATTCTTTTGTGAAACATTCACTCATTTCATATATTTTTCTAAGTGTTTAAACTTTATATATATGAATTCTCTACCATATATGGTAATTATCATTCCCTTTTTTCTTGTTTACTTTAAAAGCTTTTTTTTCTTTTTTAACTTACAAAAGTTTAAAAAGTTTTATGTAGGTAGTTACATTTATCTAACTTTTACTTTATGACTTATTTCTCAGCTTTTACACTTAGCCCTTCTCTATTCGGAAGTCGGATATTCATCTATATATTTTTTACTTAGTTTTATGTGTATTTGTGTGCTTATATTTTACTCTTGAACTCCACTGTAATTTATTTTGGTGTTTATTTTGATAAGGAATGCAACATTTACCCCCAAACAGTTAATTGTCCCAGCACCATTTTTTAAATAAACATTCTCTTCTTGGTTGATTCGAAATACCACCTTTATCTAATAAATTATTTACGCACTGGGTGTGATTCTGTGCCTTTTACCCTGCTTCCCACGGTGTGACTGGGAAGAGCGAGCAGTCATCCAGGAAATGACGGGCCCTGGAGTATTACTGCCCAGATAATGAGCCTCGTTAAAGGCGGCTTATTGATACCAACAATTTGAAAACATGGGATGACTTTGTTGAGGTTCTTAGTACTTAGCTGGGGTCGTGATGACTAAACTCATCGCTCTGTTTTTTGAGCATCGCGAATAGGATGTGTTATTGTCACGCAGTTCCAAGGCACAGTTCCAGGGGATACTCTTAAGTCGTCCCCTTTCCCAGGTCGCCACATACTCACTTCCCTCCGGTGTTCGCTAACTCAAGACGCCATCAGGTGATGACTGGATGTGTGCGGCAGTGACAGGAGAGGAAGGAGGCTTCGTGAACAGTTTGCTGTGCCCGCCTGGGGTGGAGTCTGTGAAGGGTTCTGATAACCATCCTTAATAAGATTTAAAAGCACTCCTTTCTTCTCCCGCAGTATCCCAAGTGTGCGTGGAAGGGACCCCCGCCCCGCATCCTAACTGGGTTTTGGGTATGTGAGGTTCTGCGGGACGGCGCGGGAACAGCGCGCCCCAGAGGCCTTAGCTTAAGCCGCATGCCCAGGGAGAGCTCGCCGGGCCCACCAGAGGGTAGCGGAGATCAGGGCGGCAACCGACCGACAGCCGCCGTCCGGGAGCTGGAGGCGGACGAGGCGGAAAGCAGGCGGGACAGACCAGCTGAGAAGGTCTGCAGGGAGCTTCTACCTTGCTTTACGGCTTCAGGCAGATTGCTTTGCGGCTCTTCTCCCCTTGCGACTTTGTTTACGGCTCCTCTTCGGTCTTTTTTTATTCGGCCCGCCTCCAGGGCCCACAGGGGGTGCGAACCTTCTTCCCAGGGTCCCTTGCGCCTCCTTCCCGGCCTTCTCTGCGCGGCCTGCGTCTGCGCTCTCTTCCGGCGGCGCACAGGCTGCGCCGAGCTCCCTGCGTGCACCGCGCCCTGGCCGAGGCGCGTAAGTGGGGGCCGCGCGGGCCCGGGGGCGGCTCCGGCCGGGGGTGGGGGGCGTGGGCCGCCTCTGGTTCTGAGTCGAGCTCCGTGGGGACGCAGGGCGGTGAGCTTGTCTTGCTGGTCTGAGCATACAGATGCTGAGTCCAGAGGCCAGTACTAACTCGCGATCGCAGTAAGGGGTTCGGGATCAGGGCTTCCCGGGAGTTGAGGGGTCGGGGTACAGGAAACACGCAGCGACACACGTGGCCCACGCACCGGACCCCACGGCGGGGACGAAGACCGCGTCTTCTCTGTGGCGCTTCCCTGCTCGGCGCGAGGCGCTCTGCAGATGCCGCTCGTTGACAGGAGCGAAGAGTCTGAAGTTTGTGTCAGTAGCTGGATGGAGTTGGAAGGAGCGGGTGCGGCTGGGGAGGAATTACCGACGTAAGGGAATTTGACACTCAGTTTAGCCGCCTATTCAGCCCTTCTAGGGCTTTTTTTTTTAAAAAAAAAAATTGAGATGTAATTTGTATACAATTAAATTCACATTTTTAAAGTGTACAAGTCATTAGTTTTTAGTATTCACAAGGTTGTGCAGCCACCATCATTATATAATTCCAGAACATTTTCATTACCCTAAAAAGAAACCCTGAAATCCATTAGCAGAAACTCTTCATTTCCGTCTACTCCCAGCCCCACTATTCTACTCCTTGTCTTTGAATTTGCCTCTTCTCAATATTTCATATAAGTAGAATCATACAATATTTGTATTGGCTTATTTCACTTAGCATGTTTTCAGGGTTCATCCATCCGTATTGTAGCAAGTGTTATTCTTTTTTATGACCGAGTAATAGTCAATTGTGTGGATATACCATGTTTTGTTTCTCCATTAGTTGATGGACATTGGTGGATTCCTAGACCTTTTAAGGTGTATTTCTCCACAGAACTTGGAGTCTGAAGCACAAACATTTTAAGATTAAGTTCTCAGAAACCAGCTTTTAACTCTGGGCTTGAGTCAGGTATTTCGTAGCTTCAGGTTTGATACTTTTTAAGGGAGTTTGTGTTTTAAGTATTCTCAGTTCAGCCCCTGTCAGCCCATTAATTGTAGTGGTGACAAGCAGAGAAGCGTTTGTGTGCAGATCTTCTCAGGGAGTCAGAAACCGTCAGAAATTGCTGATGTGTAATGTATGCCGGGACCTGATACCCTGTAATAACACAAACTGGGTGTAGTTGGAGATGAGTGTGTGAAAAATGTAACTCAGCTAGCTGTGGGAGAGATATTTTACCTAAAAAAAAAAAAAAAAAAAAAAAAAAAAAAAAAAACTACAGTCGATCCTCATTATTCGTGGATTCTGTTTTTACAAATTTGCCTACTTGCTGAAATTTGTATGTAATCCCCAAATCAATACTCCTGGCGCTTTCCAAAACGTGTGCAGAGTTGTGAAAAATTTGAGTTGCCCAACGCGCACGTTCCCAGCTGAGGTCAAACAAAGTGATGGCCTTCTTGTTTCAGCTGTCATAGTGTTCATAAGTTTCCTTTGGATAGTATTTTGGGGGCCATGTTTTTCACATTTTTGTGCTATTTCTTGGTGATTTTGCTGTTTAAAATGGCCTCAAGTGTAGTGCTGAAGTGATGTCTAGTGTTCCTAAGTGCAGGGAGGCTGTGATGTGCCTTGCAGAGGAAAGATAAGCTTCCTATAGATAAGCTTTGTTCAGGCATGAGTTACAGTGTTGTTGGCTGTGAGTTCAACGTTAATGAATCAACAGCATGCATTAAATAAGATGTCTTTAAACAGAAACATACATTAAAATAAAGTTAGGTATTTACCTGTAGAACAGCCCTGTACTTCCCCTAGGAACAGTGGTTCAGTATTTGCTAATTCAGTGTTCATGGTGACTTTATAGAATATAATTACCGTGGATAATGAGAATTAACTGTCTAACCAATTTAATTATTCAAGGGCAGAAAGCTTAGTTGGACATTTTTCAGTCTGCAATTTTTAACATTTTTTCACTCAAGGCATTCATTTTTAATACCATACTGGAAGTTCTGAAGTGAAAAGAAGCTGAAATAATGCTAAAATGCTCTTCATTCTACGTGCTGGGTGGGGACTATGCTAAGTGTTGGGAATTCAGTGATCAGTGTATGGCCCCTCTGTTCTCAAATTGCCAAGTGTGGTAGTGCAGCAGAGAAGTGATTATGGTGTGTTGTATGCTTTGAAGTATGTCTAAAATGCTACGGGAACATAGGATTAATTCTGTTTAGAGTGTGGTGAGGTGCATAAGGCTTCAAAGAAGAAATGACGTTTTGAGATTTATTTCTTTTAACTTAAAAGGTATCTTTTCTACTCTGTTGCTATTTTTTTTAAATGTATTACAAACATTACAGCAGTATTTATATAAATGAAAATAAAAGAAACTTGATATCCAGTCCTGCTCATGAGGCTGATTTTTTAAAAAATATTTTTCAATTCTATTTTTTTAATTTTCTTTTTTTTAATTTTTATTGAATCATAATTGATTATGCATATTTTGGGGGTTCAACATTGACATAGGTTGATCACATCAATATTACTAGCATATATATTGTTACAAATCGTACTTATTCCGTAAGGCTGTTCTTGATCTTCACAATCAGAGTCTCGCATTACTGAGTCTTGTCAGTTCTTCCTCCTGTAGTACATATCCAGAGTCCATCCTTTCTCTACATTTCATTGTCTTGGTTGAACCTTTATCATTTCCTGCCTGGACTGTTATAATATAGGCTCCTAACTGATATCTCCCTTAGTTATTCACTGCTAACAAAGAGCTTTCTGAGGCATAAATATAATCTTATCATTCTCTGCTTAAAACTTTCCATTGCTCTCTCATGGTTTATAAAATAAAGCTTCAAGCTTATTAGGGTGCTTGTATTAGTCCTCGTGATTATGCCCTGTTCTGTCTTCAATAATGATGAGAAGAGGTAATATAAAAGAGGAAAGTTTCCTCACGTAACATGCCTCATTCCCTCTTACTCCTTCCTCCCTCCACATATAATTAGAAATGCTTTTAGGTGTTAAGGAAATGGATAAGAATAAAAACATTTTTGCCAGTCTTGTTTACCTTCTTAACATCACAGATTCATCTGTTTCTTGCTTACAGCCACTATCCTAGTCCAGGTTCTTTCCCTCGTACCACCCACAAGTCTTTTTGGTTATGTTTTTATTTCTCTTGGGAAAATACTTATCAGAAGAATTCTTGGGTCATATAGGAGATGTATGTTTAATGACTAAAGAAATCATCAGTGTTATTTTTTTTTTTGTCCTTTTGTGAGACCGGCTGCACCGCGCTCAGCCAGTGAGCGCGCCAGCCATTCCTATATAGGATCCGAACCCGCGGCGGGAGCGCTGCGGCTCTCCCGAGTACGCCACAGGCTTGGCCCCTCAGTCTTATTTTCAAAATTAGAAAACTATAAAGCTTCTAGAAGAAAATATAGAATGTCTCCATGACCTGGGGGTGCACAGAGGTTTCTTAGATAGGACTCAGAAAGCAATAATCACTTTAAAAATGGTAAATTTGATTACATCAAAATTTAAAACTTCTCATCACAATCAGCTCTACGAAAATGAATAGGCAAGCACAGACGCCTTTCTGACGAAGGACTGATATCCAAAATGTATAAAGAACCAGTAGGGTCAAGGGCAGAAGTTAATCCTCTACTGCTGTACCCTCTGGGTCTGTGGCTTGGGCTTTGGAGTCATCCTTACTTTTTCATGGAGGGTATCATGTGTCAACAGCTGAGTGGTTGTTTATCGGCATGTTTCCTGTCAACAGTGTATGAGAGTTCCAATTGCTTCACATCCTTGCCAACTTTTGGTGTTGTCAGTCTTTTTATTTTTAATCATTACGGTGGGTGTAGAGTGGTATTTCATTATGGCTTTAAATTTAGTCATTGATTACTAATGATGTTGAGCACTTTTTTCTGTGCTTATTGATATTTGTATACCTTCCTTTGCAAAGTGCTTGCTCAAATCTTTTGCCCACATTAAATTGGTTGTCTTTTTATTGTTGAGTTGGAGTTCTTTATATCCTTTATTTATTTATTTTTTTTTTGGGCAGCTGGCTGGTGTAGGGATTGAACCCTGGGCCTTGGTGTTATCAGGACCATGCTCTAACCACCGGAGCTAACTGGCCAGCCCTATGTATCTGTATTAGTCCGTTGTGTTGCTATAACAGAAATACCTGAGACTGGGTAATTTATAAAGAAGAGAGGTTTATTAGGCTTAAGATTCTGGGACAGCTGCATCTGGCATGGGCCTCAGGCTGCTTCTACTCATGGCGGAAAGTGGCAGGTAGCCGGCAGGTACAAACAGATCACATGGCAAGAGGAAGCAAGAGAGAGAAGGTGCCAGGGTCTTTTAAACAACCAGCTCTTGTGGGAACTAATAGTGTGAGATCTTACTCAGGACCCTCACCCCCCCAGGGAGAGCATTAATCCATTCATGAGGGATCTTCCCCCATGACTAAAACAGCTTCCAGCACTGTCACATTGGGGATCAGATTTCTGCATGAGTTTTGGGGGGACAACACATCCAAACTCTATCAATATCCTTTTTATATCCTGGATATCAGTCCTTTGTCTGTGGTTGCCTATTCATTTTCTTAGAGTTGTTGGATGAACAGAAGTTTTATGTTTTGATATAGTTAACTTATCATATTTTTTTTTTTATAGTTTTTGCTTTCTGAGTCCTAAGAAATCTTGGCCACCTTCAGGTTGTGAAGATATTCTTTAATATTTTCTTTTAGAAGTTTCATAGTTCTTGTTTTATGTTTAGGCCTTTTTGTAGTTTCCAGTGCAGGGGTTTTAGACATCTTTTGTTAAATTTATTACTAGGTGTATATTTTTAAAACTTTATTGTAAAATGGAGCCATCATTTGTACCATTCATTACTCCTCACATAATGTGTCCATTTTCCTCTGGCTGCTTTAAAGATTTTCTCTTTATCTTTGATTTTCAGCAGTTTACCCATGGTGTTTTTAGGTGTA